ATTAAGCTGGGCTTCGGTGGCTCACGCCTGTAATCCTAGCTACTCAGGAGGATGAGATCTGAGGATCACGGTTCAAAGCCAGCCCGGGCAGGAGAGACCGTGAGACTCCTATCTCCAATAAACCACCAGAAAACCAGAAGTGGCACTGTGGCTCAAGTGACAGAGCGCTCGCCTTGAACTGAAGAGCTCAGGGACAGCATCCAAGTCCAGAGTTCAAGCCCCACGACCAACAACAACAACAAAAATTAAACAATATAAAATTAACAATTGAATAGATTTGAATGGCAAAACTGCTTTATTTTTTAACTTGATACACACACCAAGCAAAGTCAATGAGAAAGTAAAATAATTCAAACAAAGTTTTAAATTTCTGCACACACAGTTGATGCAGAGAAGCTCAGTAAGTCATAGTCAGTTGAGTTTAAATCCTTGTGTTATCTGCTGTTTCCTTGCCCTTAATTCTGTAAAATTTTGTCTCCAAGAAAGCAAATGGTACACTCCAAACAAAGTAAAAGCTAAAGTACTTACTTTAAATGATAGTGAACATTTCATTTAATTTATTTTTGTACTGCTCCCATTCTACATGATTTTTCCCCCTAGTATGGAGCCATGAACTCAGGACCTTGGCACTGTCATTGAGTTCCTTTTGCTCACGGCTAGCATTCTACTATTTTTGTCACAGCTCCACTTCTGGCTTTTTCTGTGATTAATTAAAGATATAAGTCTCATGGACTTTTCTTTACCAGCTGGCTCTGAACCTCAATCCTCAGTTCTTAGCCTCCTGAGTAGCTAGACGTAAGCCACAGACATCTGGCAGTAACTTAGTTTTTGATAGTGATAGTTGCCATGGATTTCATGGTAATAGGAAACTTCCACTGAGAGGTCAATCAACTCCATGAAACTGTATATTTAGTAAGATTTTTAGAAAAGGTTCATCTTTTTCAGACATTAAAATGGAATCTTTATACATCAAATGTTTAAAACTATTTATATTCAATCTTAATTCAATTAATTTAAAAGCATTTAATAACTGATACGTGAGCAAATTGTGTAAGTATTTTGACAAAAGTAGAAGCATGTAAAATAAGTAAATGTGAAACATTCTACTTCATTATTAATCAGAGCAATTCATATTATAACATGCATCAAGTATCTTGTTACATCTAACATAATGGCAATTGCTTAAAAGCTGACACCAACAGATATATAGACAGTGATTTTTCGCTAGTACAAAGGCTTAGATTCATAGTTATGTTTCACATTTTGCTCAGCTTGCTTGCTTGCTTGCGGCTGTGCTCTTCCATTTGAGCCACACAAATTATGTATTTGTGTACACATATACAATTAACTGAAATTATAATGAAGAAGCTCCTAACCTCATTCTTGCTGGTGTCAGTAAAATGAGTCAGACCATAGGAAAAATGATATGCCAGTTCTTAGCAATATTCCTAGAAGTGAAGAGTAGAATAATGGTTACCAGAGGCTGGAAAAATTTAGAAAACTTAAGAGGTTGATCAATGGGTATTACCATATTTGCGTAAGAATTACTACTGAACCAATATAGAGTGGAAAAATTATAGATAAATAGGTGGTATATATTTCTGAAGGTTACAAGGGAGGACTTTGAAAATATTCATTGTAAAGAAATTATAAGCAATTGAGGTGATAGATGTTTTCCTTTATTTAAGTATCATATGAAGTACACATGTATCAGAAATTCACTTGGTACCCCATTAATATTATTTTTATGTTCTCTTTAAAATAAATTTAATAGGGGATGGGAAGTTGGCTCAGTAATGGAGTGCTTGCCTTGCATGCATGAGGCCCTGGGTTTGATTCCTCAGCACCACATAAGCAGAAAAAGCCAGAAGTGGTGCTGTGGCTCCAGTGGTAGAGCACTAGCCTTGAGCTGAAGAGCTGGGGGACAGCGCCCAGGCCCAGAGTTCAGGCCCCACAACCCACAAAAAAAATGAATTTAATAAAAAGTTAAAATGTTACATATGGCAAAAAGATGACACTAAATATCAGTTAATAAATGTAGGAACATTGTTACTTAAAATATTATGCACCAAATATCCAGCCTGATGAGAAATGTGCTATAGTAAACATTTGATAAATTCATAATTACATTGAAGTTGTACATTATAAAATTCTAGAATGCTATTCACATACATTGTCACATAAATAGAAAATTCTGCTTTATTCAAAGCAGCACACTTGAAAGTGTTCATACATTCAGCTTTCATTAATCTGATTATCTTATTTTGTTCTATGTCGTTTTTCAATAATAATATAAACAGGAGATATCTGGTCAACTTGAAAATCAAGAACTTAAATTTCATTGTCTATATCTAGGTAATTCCTATAACCTATTAGCTTTATTAAGTTTGAGTTTTATTTTTATAATATATGGAATAGAAAATGATAAACAAATTGATTGTGTTGATGTAAGTAAAATAGACTTACAAACAATAAGGCACTAATAATAGCTATAAGATTTAATATAAAAATAATAAAATGAATTATATTTATCATGCTAATGAAAATGCATTCTGCTATGAAAACAAACATTAGCAAGCAATCTACTGCAGACATTTTTTTAAATTTTATTAAACACAACAGGAACAATAGAGGCCATCTATTGAAGATGTTTATGTATTGGACCTTCCATTCAACATGATTTATACTTTAGATGAATTATATTTAGGGTATAATGTCAAGGTTTGAATGTTACCTTCAAGGACTCTGTACATTTAAATTAAAATAATTAAAACAATATTTTTTCATTTACATGCTTTTAGAGTAACCATTTTCAAGTGACTTTTAGTAGAGGCTATTGGTAATGAGATAAGGTTTAAAATATCTGAATCGGTGCTCTCAGTAACTCTAATTTAATGCATTATTGTTATAGCAAAATTAACTAGTTCATGCATTGATTAAACTCGAATAGTGGAGTTTCAACTCAGGACCTTACATTTTTGCCAGAGAGGCTTTCTGTCACTGAGCCATACCCCAGCCCTTTCTTTCATTATTTTTCTAGTGGGGTCTTACACTTTGAATCTGGTTGCTGCTCATCTTTCTTTCTATACCTTAGCTAGCCAGAGGCTAGCTAATAGAAGTAGTCTTATTTTGGCTTATGAATTTTGAAGTTCAAGATGATGACACCACCCTCTGCTTGGCTTCTGATGAGGGTGTCACAGCAGAAAAGAGGAAGGCTGGCAAATAAATCCTATCATGCTGCTCTAACCTGGATTAATGATAGCTAATCCATTCCTGTGAGAGCAAGAACCCATTTCCAATATGTGACATTAATTTATTCACAAGGGCTTTGCCCCCTGGGACTCAAAAATCTCCTATTATACTCCACCTATAAATACTGCCAGACTGAGATTAAAGCCTCCAGTTGTTTTGTTGGGAAAACTGTATTTTAGCCATAGCAAACTCATTTACTCTCTGGTATGTTACAAAGTATACACATGCTTGCGTGATGGAAAACATTAAGTAGAATTACAAATAGGCAATTTATTTTTAGGAATATCAGGATATACCAGTGAGAAAAGATGCATAGACCAGCCTCTTACAGACATCTAGTTCAATTTTGATCATTTGGGACATTCTGTTTCTTGTTTTATTATTCTGAAAAGGATGGTACTAAATTTATGGCAATGAAAGGCTTCAAAAGGCAATTATATGCTTGAAAATATTATCTACTTTTATTCACTTGTATGAGTCAACAAAAGAAAACATGTACATTATATACATGATTTGTGCTGTAATGGATAATGGTTATATTAACATTTTACATAGTTATCTTGTAGAAATAGCTCAACTAAATAAAAATATATTTTGTGACTCTAAATAAGACTTCTCACCTAAGAAGATGATTTAAAATATTATTATCCACTGCTATTTTTCAAGTTTGTTAAAATATCTACTCGATTAATATTGTGTTTAAAGATAAACATATTTTTAATGCTCACATACATTTCTTATGGAAAATTATGTTTTTAGAAGAGAAAAAATTGGAGATTTACTACTGAAAATTATTGTGAGGGGGAATAAGGTTACATTTTAGGGTATCCAGTAGTAGTTATTTTGACTGAAATAACTAAAATACAAACTCTCTAAACCTTACATGTTATTAATATGATCATATTTCTAATAAATCAAATATAAGTCTTTGACTTTGAAGCATTTTAATAAACCACTTGATGACTTTTCTGCCCCATTTACTCAATATTAATTTCCAGCTTAGGAAAACAGAGACAATTTTTAGCAGTATGAACTTTATAAAGCCATTTTAATAATTTTTCAGCCTAATCCATTGGTATAAATCCTTAGAGATTTTTCCTTTGAGTATTTATACATACATACATACCTACATATATATATATATATATATATATGTATAAGCCATAAAGAGTAACATTTGCATTTTTATTTGACATTTCCTGAAGTTTAGATTTTGGACTTATAAAATAGTCAGTTCCCTTCAAGCATTTAAATATTTGTTTTCTGAACTTTTAATTTGTTCAGACAATGTGTTAAATTTTGAAATGCTACAATTTATAAAAAAAAAATCCATGCTCCTAATTAGGAAGCCTCTACTTTAGAGTATGAGGCCCATGATAGTGTATATATGTGGTATAAAGAAGTGAATAGCTATTTCTACATGGATGGGGATAACATTATAAAGATGGACTCAGGAATAGATTTTTTTTAAAAAATGACAGTACTCCGGATTAAACTAGAGTGGCTATTTATTATTGTAGAAAAATTATTTTTGGTTGAATTATACTGTACTTAACAATATTATTTTTGGATATAATTTCAACTTGGTTAATTATACCATGGCTTATGCTTAAATTCATTTATCACTGAACTTAATACTAAATATAAAATAACATTAACATAAATAATTAGAAATTATTTTGTCACTTATACACTACATGAAAAATATATTTCAAACCCTTAATCCTTTTTTGTACTTTACATTGTAGATGAAAGAGAAGATGTTCAAAAGAAAACATTCACAAAATGGATAAATGCACAATTTTCTAAGGTAAGAAAGTCTATATTACATCTCTTTATGATACAATATTTGTGGAAATTTCAGAATAGACTACGTACTTATGAATCTTAAGTGCTCTTTTTTTCTCAGTACAAATTTTATTTTACTTACTTAATTCTTCAAATATATTGACTTGACATGTGTGTGTGTGTGTGTGTGTGTGTGTGTGTGTGTGTGTGTGTGTGTGCATGTATGCCAATCTAGGCCTGAACTCACCATTGTTCTTACCATTTGAATCAAGACAGTTCCACTTCTGGCTTGCTTGTTTGCATATTTCTTTCTTTCTTTCTTGTTAATTGGAGGTATGATTCCTGCACTCTTGTGCCTCGCCTGGCTTTGAACCACAGTCCCCAGATCTCAGCTTCTTGAGTAGCTCGGATTGCAAAAATAAGTCACTACTGTTGACTCTTAATTCAAGAATGAGCAGCATAAAATAATGAGAGATTATTTAATTTTATGAAATGTACATCTTTGGTTCTTCCTAATAATGTTTGTTTATGACACAAGTCATTGTAGTAGCAACCATCTTCTATTGGATAACATGTCTATGTCACACTTTAGAAAATGATGTCAGATGAAATGATCCTGTTTTATCTTTCTGATCTTTACCAAATTCTTGGAAACCTAGAACAATCATGTTGGAATCTGTACAGCCCAGTAACTTAGAACATATTTCCAAGAATTAAAAAGGCAAATCATCCTGCTTTTTGGCAAGAATCAGTCTTAACTATTAATATATTTCTGTATATTATAACTCAACTTGAGATCAATAGCACGACTATACATAATTATATATGAACCAAGAGTACGATTCTTTCCTTGAACACTGCCATCTGGAATACAATATAAAGAGGTTTACTTGGATTTCAAGATTAGAACAAATTGGAATTTCATTTAATATTGCTAGATTTGAGAAAATACATCAAATATTATCTCAGTTTTCTTGCCCTTCATATATGAATAAATGAAAAATTCTTAGTGATCAACTATAAATCAAATCCAGTCAATAGGACTATAAACTTAATAACTTTTTGTTTCTCTACTCAAAACAGTAAGAGAGGAAAAATTATATAATGTGTATTTAGCATTTTGATGTGAGGATATAGAGTCATTGTGAGTAACAATTTATAGCACACTACCGTACACACTTAGTATAGATGTACTATTCTTTTTGTGGACTTTCTCTCCTTTTGTGAAAAAAATGGTACTGGATCTAAAACAATCCACTAGCACCAATGCTTCGTTTGCTATTGCAAAAGGTTTCAGACTATCACCCATTCTTTATGTTATTTCACAACAGAACTTTCCCAGGCACTCTCATGTATATTGGCAACAAGTACAAATGACTGAAGTTTTCAAACTAAAAATGTGCTTTCATTTTCTGATTCTTTTTGTTTTATTGTAAAGGTGATGTACAGAAGGTTGCAGTTATATAAGTCAGACACTAGGTGCATTTCTTTTAAACAGTGTCATCCCCACTCTCATTCCCCCCCCCATTTTCTTATTTTATTAGTTGAAGAGAAAAAGCTAGCAACTAAAATTTTCTGTCATAACATTTTAACAATAAACTCAAACTGGAATATACATTTTTGAAATTTTCAATTAATTTGAACTAAAGGAAGAATAATAAAATTTTTTAAAAAGACACTAAAACAAAAGCATACATTAACTGTGAACTCAAATATTTGATATACGATATTTACAATTAAAATCATTCTCACAATATTTCCAGTATGGATGTATATAATTTATTTAGTGCATCTGCTTGCTTCCTTAAAACTTTCTTAATTTTAAAATTTTGAAATAGACAATAAACACAGGCTTTCAAACAAATATTTCTTTAAAAATCTGAATTATAAATATATTTTCTGAAAAATATATCTCTGGCTTAATTTATCAGTGAATTATTTTATGAGGTTTATAAGCATTATATAATCTTTATTCTCACAAAGCTAAATAGATCATCACCCTGTTTACAATGATACTCCCAAGTATCATTCATTAAAACTTGCTTGGCAATATACCAACCAAATTTGATAGCTTCTCTTCTACCAATATATTATTGGGACTTCCTTAGAGCAATTAGATATGTGTGCATTTGACTCCCAATTATTTTACATTACATTATACAAATGTTCTCCCCAAAACATTTACAATTGGATCAGGAGAGTCGCCATTCTTTCCAATACAGAATTTCCATTATTAGGAATCTCTTAAGTGTAATAAATACAAACAAATATGTATAAAAACAAAAGAAAAAAACTCATTTATAGATAAAATTGTAAATATGTGTATTTTTTATGTTTGAGAACTTTAAAAGTATCCTTTCCATATTATTTTATAGTTCCTGTCAAAGTTTCAGGTAAATGACCATGCTAATTTTAGAAGCTGTTGAGAAGACTGGGAATTAAAAAAAAAAAAAAACTAGTTGATTCAGTTTAAACTATCTGAAGAAACCATAGAATTCTATTGTGTATATATACCATATTTTCTTGATCCATTCATCTACTGAGGGGCATTTGTGTTGATTCCATATCTTAGCTAATGTAAATAATGTTGCAGTGAATGTTTGTGCTGGTAGCTTTAGTGTGGCCTTTTTTGTGGTCATTTGGATAAATGCCCAAGGGTGGGGTTGCTAGGCCATGGGGAAGTTCTATGTTTAGTCTTTTGAAGAAACTCCATATTGCTTTTCAGAGTGGTTGAAAACATTTACATTACCACCCACAGTGTAGTAGCTTTTCCATTTGGCCACATCCCTGCCAGCATCTGTTGTTATTCATTTTCTTGATAATGGCCATTCTAACAGGGGTAAACTGGAATCTCAATGTAGTTTGATTTGCATTTCTTTTATGGCCAAAGATGTTGAACATTTCTTCATATGTCCATTTGTCAGAACTAGAATATGTCTCAAATATTCTTAGCAGTGGATCACAATGGCTCAATAGCTATGTGAATATGACCATATAAAATGATGCTTTTTGTACTGTTTGCAGTTATTTCTTTTTTTTCCCTTTGTTTATTTCCTGTTGTGACTGTTTTTTATATCAGCATCCTTTGTGCTATATATGCTTATCTGATTTATGGATGGGAAGGGGAATCACAGATCATAGAAATGGTGAGACAGAGGACAAGGGGTGAACCAATGCAACAATGATACTCACAAAATATGTTAGAAAATAACTTTACTTGGAGGGGAGGTGACTCAGAGTGGGGGGAAGTGTGAAAAAGGAGAGAGGGGGTAATGCTGATCAAAAAGAAATGCACTCATTACCTTATTATGTAACTGTAACCCCTCTGTACATCACCTTTACAGTAACATTTAAATTAAAAAATACAAAAAATAACAGTTAATGAAAACATGTCAGGAAAAAAATAAAACACCTGATGGTATGAAAAGTCAGACACCATTGTGAAATACATCACTTAGAACGTATATATTGTATCAGTACATGGCTTTTAGCAGAATTTTAGACCTATTTGATATACACAATTGGGTAAATTTGAAGTCTATTTTTTTAATTTAATTTTATTTTATTTGTGAACATACTGTACAGAGGAGTTACAATTACATGGAAATTTGAAGTCTATTGACTTCATGGAATGTATAGGCTCATTTGGAGGATGCTGGCTAATTGTTAAATTAAGCAGTACTGAGTAAGATTGGGGGGGGGCGCTGGATCGGAGTAAGCAGTACTTTGCCCTAAAGGTAACCTGGTCATTTTTATGACCAAAAGTCTGGAATGTGAGCCCAAGGAAAGAATATGTGCTTTGTTTGTAATCCCAGTATTCATTACCAATGAACTAATGAATGTGATGAGTTTACTTAGTCTTAAAGATTCTTAATATAAAACCTGTGTTGGAAAGACCGTAAAAAAGAGAGGAAAAGCAATAAAATTTGTCTGTTTTTAATTATACACACACACACACATACATACATACATACATTCATACGTACATACATACATATAACACTAAAAGGAATTGCTTTCCAAAGGTTTATCAGTGAAACATACACACATCTACATGATATTTGTAAATTATAGACAGATAACAAAGTATATTTTAAGGAAATAAATGTGATTAAATATATCCTTATCATTTTGGTGTCAATTGAAGCCAAATGTGCCTTTGCAGTAAATATGAATTTTCACTTTCTCCATACCATTTTAAAACAAGCACTCTCTTTTTCAAAATAACTCTTCTATTAACCTTCGATTCCATAAATTTCTGCTAGGATGTGATTTATCACATGCCCTCTATAAAGATAAGCAAACAATATTTATCTCTACAGAAACACAAAACCATTTCTAGATAAGATTTTTCAAGGTAAATATTCTTCCTATGTAACTTGTAGATATGTTATAATCTAAGGAAACATCTAGTGTTTAGTCATGACAAATATAATTCACATTATAAGTACCTTGCTCATTCACCCAGGCTTTTTTTCAAATAAGGTAGTTTTTAAATTGTCATGAAAAGTAATTTTTCCATAAAACATTGTGTTTGGGTTTGAGAAAAAGATATATGGAAGTAAAAAGGAGACATAGACTAATTGGAAGGTATAAATAAATCATCCTCCAATAAGTTACAACATGATTTTGATCCTAAATTGGATTTAATGACTGTCATTAGTTCCATGTTCTAGTCCTTTTTATGTTTCATTCTTCACAACATAATAGGCAGCTTTGTATTTGACTGAAAGTTGAAAATGATAGTCTTGTCCAAACTTTGCAAACACCATGATGTAATAGGAGGTATTGAATGCTTGTAATAACAAAGGTTTTAATCCACCTTTGGAAATTTAATTACCTCAGAAATAGCCTCTGTTAGGGAGTATTTTGTTGATTATTTGTGATTGATTCTTCTATGTATGAAAAGTTATATTTTTATATTTTAGTGAGCAAAGTAATAGTTTTTATCATAATAATTTAAACAATATTTTGTGAATATTTTTTCTGTTAGTTTTCAACAAATTATTGTGTAAGAAATAA